AGGGACGGCCTTGATCGCGTTCTCGAGTGCGCGGACAGCCGCCATGACTGGTCCACAGCCTTGCCAGCTGCGTCGGCCGCAGAGGTAGACGCAATAGTGGCCAGGTCCTCCTTGAGGGTCTTGAACTCCAGCGGGAGGCGCTTGCCAAGCTGTTCGGCAATGAGGCCGTTGATGTGGGCACCCCCGTCATCGTCGGCCATGTCATATGCATCATCTTCTGCGTCTGAGACGTTACGGCTCGACCTCGATCGATCATCGTCCACCCGGCCACCAGCAAGAACATTATCATCATAACCCCGCACGACTGCTGGACGCCCCGCTGCAGGGGGCTTCTTCTTGCGCTTGGGAGCACTGCCATTCGGGGGCATGCGCAGGACGCGCGCGCCGAAGCTTGACGCGATCGGACCGACAGGAACGGGGAAGGCCTCCGTTTACCCACCGACCCGAGCGCAGCGAAGGTGGACGAGAGAAAGCGCCAGACTTCAAGAAGTCTTGCCAGCCGCGGACTAGCGGTATCCGCTTGGTTTCCAGGGGAAGCCTGCATCTTGAGCCAAAGTGGCTACGGAGCCGCGAGGAGGAGGAGGAGGAGGAGGAGGAGGGATGGGGAAGGAAACGCGCGAGTGGTGCTCTTTTTAAAGGAGAACCCAACAGAGGAGGGTTTGGGAACAAACCACACAGAGAGCGAGAGAAAGGGGGGGGGAGAGAGAGAGAGAGAGAGGGAGAGAGAGAGAGAGAGAGCGAACAAAAAGAGAGAAAGAGAGACATATATAGAGATAGAGAAAGAGAGAGAGAGAGAGAGAGAGAAAAACAAAACAAAGAGAAAGAGAGAGAGAGAGAGAAAAAAAAAAGAGAGAGAGAGAGAGAGAGAAATAGAGAAAGAGAGAGAGAGAGAGAACACAAACACTGAGAGAGAGAGAGAGTGACAAGACACACGCGGTGATGCTCAGGCAGAGCTGCAGCGTGTCTCTGGGCAACAGATTAAATTCCGCTGCCCAGCGCCAGTCGACCCTCGAACTCCTCGCGCGGGGAGAGGGGAAGAATAGATCGGGGGTGCCCAAACCAGGGGCGTCCAAGAGGGGGGGTCGCAAATCATGGCCCGAGGAATGCGCGCGGGCGGGGAACAGGCAATGGGTCGTGTTGGAAGAAGCGGGGGAGGGGGGCCATGAAATCCGGGTAAACATCATGGCCTCAGTCATGACCCCCCCTTTCCCTAGGCATCGCCCCCACCATGTTGGCCGCCCCCGATCGGGGGAGAGGCGGGGCATTGCAAGTCACGCCCAACCCAGCCGATGCACCCCTTGTTGCATTCAATCCGTGCCCTGGGAAAAATAGAGGTAAGCATCAAAGAGAAGACCACCCCTGAAAACCTGCCCCCGCACCGTTTTCAGGGGGAGCCCCCAAAAAACATTGAGCTGGCGTGGAGGCGAGAGTACTGCCTTGGTCAGCGACTGTTTTGCGCAAGACGTGCGCTCTCCTGATTTACGCATGTTGCTATACTCGTAATAATCATATGGGCCTGAGGCGCTCGCTGACCAACCCCTGTCAATCTTGAGTTAGAACATCGATCGGCTTCTAAACATCGGCGAATATGGAACAATGCCAGTTTACTTCGTTTCAGCAGAAGTCTACGTCTCAGCGCGTCGGGGCTGAGACATACCACGCTTAGCCGTCGAGGCCGTATGGAGAAGTAAGGTCCCCGCCCGAATTTTTTGCGCATGAAGCGCATTTCGAAATCAAGATAGCATCAAATTGACATTTCAGGCGCAAGGCGCCATCCCTGTTCCAATCTCCAATCCCTCTCCCGCGGGAGTCGAACGAATGCGGGAGGGTGCTGGGGTCAAGGGAGACAGGGGAACTGGGGAGAGGTGCGCGGACACTGGGAGGGGGAGAGAAGAAGACGCCGCTTGCCTCACAGCCCCTCCTAAGACGAAGCCAGGACAGGAAAGACATCGGACAAACAAAAATCTGAGACCTAGCGGTTCTGGAGGTGCGTGTTCGGACTGAACAGGTCTGAGAAGTTTGAAAGATTGAAGGATTGAGAGATGTTTCGATACAGGGGTCCTGGAATTAAATATTGGAAATAATTGTAAACATCTTTTGATACGGTGCCTCCGGATTGAAAAAATGAAAGAGTGAAAGATCCCGTGCCTCTTCAATCTTTCAATTTACATTATGGGATCCCCGGATTCAAGGATGCTTCTATTGATCATTTCCTCTTTTCAATATTGAATATCGCGGGTGAGCGATTGCTCCTCTTTTCCATTTTTCCATTGCTGGATTGCCCCATCCGACCCTCGGCTCCCCGGACGTCTCAAAAATGTAGCAATTCGCCCCCCCTGGAGAGCCTGAACAAGCAAAACATGTACGATTCAAAAAGGAACACGTATAACTGCACCAGATTCGCCTCTTCGACTTTCACGCCATCCACGACAGCCCCAGAGGGTTTCAGCATCGCCCCCAAAACACCACAAGAGTCTCTGTAGAGGTTCCCGAAACAGCCGAAGACAGCCCCAAGCGAGCCCCAGTCGCCTCACAGTCGCCTAGGAACCCACACGTAACTGGCAAGAGGCCCAAGGAACCCTGTACATGTCCGCAGAGTGTGTACGATTCCCCCGATGAAAACGTAGACTTGCACCAGATTCGCCTCTTCGACTTTCACACCATCCACGACAGCCCCAGAAGGTCCCAGCATCGCCCCAAAAACACCCCAACAGCCTCTGAACAGGTTCTCCAGACAGCCGAAGACAGCCCCAAGCGAGCCCCAAAGTCGCTTCAGACTCGCCTAGGAATCCACACGAAACCAGCAAGAGGTCCAAGAAATCCTTTACATGCCCGCGAAGTGCGTCCACAGGTCCCCACGAACTTCCCGGAGGCGCCCGAAAATTCAAAACACTGCTTCCAACGCGTTCTCGACAGGCTTACCACGAAGCTCCATCAGCCATCCGAGTTGCCACGCACCCACAACCCCAGGCACGTTGCCACGTGGAGTTTAGCAGGCCTTGTGCGCAACAAGCAGGGTGCAATGCTATGCTTCCGCCTCCCGAGGCGTGACAACGTGACTCATCGAACGGGTGCGGCCTTCGTCGTTGCCAAGCTAGCACTAGCATGCCATGTTTTCCTGCCGCCGTCCCCAGGCGTTGCCACGTGAGGGGTATTGTACTCTACGTGATGGTCCTGCCCCGCTGCCCTCTGGAGCCGTCGAGGGGTCCCACGCCCCTCGTGTTCCTGTCCCTTCGCCTCCTCATCTTCCTCCTACACCTCCTCCTCTCACGTCGTCCTCCTCCTCCTTTTCCCCTCCCGCCACTGTCCCAGGCGCTGCCACGCGAGGGGTCGTGTACAACACGTCGATTTGGTGTTCCGCTCCCCCAGAAGCCGTGGAGAGGCCTCAGGCGCCTTTTGTTCCTATTTCTCCTCTTCCTCCTCATCTGCCCCCTCCTCCCTTTTCCCGCGGTCCATTTCCTACTCCACCTCCTCGTCCTCTCCCGTCACCCTCTCCTCCTCCTCTTCCTTCTCCTACTGCCGCCTACTTTCCTCTGTCACGTGACTTACTTCCGCCAACACCTCCGTCGCCCTCCGCCGAATTTGCCAACGGGCTCCGCGCGTCCGCGACAACTCCATGTTCATGCGGATCCGCGCTTGTTCCCCCACCGTCGGGGCGAACACCGCGGCCCGATCAAATGATACAACCTTATAGTGCCCCGTGCCGTGCGCTTTACCTCCGCCGACTCAGTCCTCGCATTCCGCCGACATCCACCAGACAAGAGCCCGGTAAAACGACAGCATTGGTGGCTGCCTTCGAACGGATGTCGCACGTTTCGACAGAAATCTGGGCCAACAAATTCTGGCCCTGGAGCCTCGGATTGAAAGGTTGAAATAATGACAAATTCGAAAGCAATCCAATCGCACATTCGTTCAATCAAGAACCTTTGGATTGAAAAATGTGTTATTCCTTCTACATTCCAATCCAGGCCTCCCAGAATGAAACATTTTTCGTTCTTTCAATATTTCATTATTTCAATCTGGGACCTCCGGAATGAAAGATATCCGCCGGCCCCCTTGTGGGGCCACCAGGCTGTAGGCCGAAGGTTCGCAGTTTCCTGTGCCAGTTGCAGCTTCCGTTTCCACTGTTACAATTCTGCTTATTGCTGCTTACTGTTCCTTGTTGATGAACCGCGCGAGGGGGGGGATGCCCAAACGGGCAGGTTTAGCACGTCCTGAGCGTGTTGTCTGAATTGCTGGGGTGGGTAAGAATTGACACCGCTCACGCAGATCGGCGGGGTCAGGATCCAAAAACACATGGGATTTGCTACATTTCTGAAATTCAGTGGCACCCCATCACGAAGATCAGCGGGGTCAGAGTCCAAAGACACGTGGGATTTGCCACATTACTGAAATTCGCTGGCACCCCTCACTCAGATCGGCGGGGTCAGGGTCCAAAAACACATGGGATTTGCAACATTTCTGACATTCGGTGGCACCCCTCACGCAGATCGGCGGGGTCAGAGTGCAAAAATACATGGGATTTGCCACATTTCTCAAATCCGCTGGCACCCCTCACGCAGATCGGCGGGGTCAGGGTCCAAAAACACAAGAGATTTGCCACATTTCTGAGATTCGGCGGCACCCCTCACGCAGATCCGTAGGGGTCAGGGTGCAAAAACATTGGGGATTTGCTACATTTCTGAAATTCGGTGCCACCCCTCACGCAGATCCGTAGGGTCAGGGTCGAAAAACAAACAGGTCCCGACACTGCTTCAGGGCGGCGCCCAGACCTTATGATTTAGCTTTTGCATCTCCCATTATCCGAGACAGGGGGCCGGCGGCACGGGGCGAAGCCCTTACGGATTTCACTCATTCATTCTCTCAATCTTGCAATCCCTTCCCACATAACCAAATTCAATCGTGCAATCCTTTCAATATTCCAATGCCTCCCTAGGCCTCTCTGCGACAAACAAACGAACGCTCTGGAACGATTCATCCCTATCCTAACCACACCCGGCCTCCCCCATGGTTCCCTTGGTCCTCCTTCTTGTAGAAGGCCCGCAATCCAGACCCAATCTGGCGTATCTCCGACTCGCCGCAATCGATTTCCTCGCAGAAGAGCTTGTCCGAGTCGGGGTGTTCCCAGACCTTCCAGGTGCCACGAGGATCGCGTGAGCGACATAGATGGCAAGAAATAATTTACTTCCCGAGCCTCCCGAGGCCTGTCATTGACACCCTGTCAAGAATGAGACAACGAAAAAGAGGGAGAAAGAGAGAGAGAGAGAAAGACGAACAAACGCTCGAAAAATTAAGAGACACAGAAATAGGGGTGGAAGTATGGCGAAACGGGTCGGAGCAGGAGAAGATGACATATCAGTCTGAAGAGGGGGTGGTGGAGGAGAAGAGGGTGGACGAGGAGGAGGGCGCGGATGGTGGGGCGATGAGGAATGGCAAACGGAAGACAGAAAAACAGGGAGAGACGATGGAAAGAACATGAGGCGGGGCAACCGAAAATGATAGCTACCTCCGATGGACATCTGCCGCCGTGTAATGTAGTGATGCCCGCGTGTCTATTAACTGCAAAGGGCTGGCCCCCCCTCGCGGCGCAATCATCCCCTGCAGATCGCCTCCCCCGCCGTTCTCTGGAGCCCCTCAGAAAGCCGAGGGCCGCTCCAAAACGTCCACAACCATCGCGCTACTACTTCTGGCCGCGGCGAGCCTCAGGCAACCACTCTCTCCCCGACCCAGATCTGAGGAGCGGCCGGAAAACCAGAGCTCCCTCAGGAGCCCAACGTGGTCCTCATTTCAGCGCCTTGACTGTACAAGACGCCACCAGAGCATCCAAAGACAGCTCCACGAGCCCCCTCCAAGAGCCAAGGATCTCCTCAAAATACCCCGCGAGACCCCAAGAGACCTCCGAGAGACGCCCCAGGAGAGCTCTGGAGAGATCCGAAGAGGCGAAACATGTAGGAACATGCAGCCATGCTCGGCTTTATTTAGTTCCGAGGCGGTTCGGCTTCAGATCGCATCGGGAAAGCTTCGGAGAGCCCCAGGAGCCCCCAAAGACGGCCCAAACCTGTCCCAAAGGAGCCCAAGGACGGCCCCAAGACTACCCGGTACCGCCCAAGGCTGCCCAAGAAGTCTCCAAGGGGGCCTTGCGACCCGCGCAGACCTCACCAAGACGGTCCCAAGGAACCTCTCCGAGCGAGCTCGGTGGAACCATCGCGCCCAAGACAGCCCCGAGACCCCCGACGGGCCCCTGGCAGGTCCCCAAGAGGGCCCCAGGAGGCCCCCAAGAAGCCCCCGAAAGGTCCCCCAGGCAGCCTACAATATGAGTCCAAGAAGGAGAAGGGAGGAGAAGGAGGAGGCGGAGCGTGCCCAAGAGGAGTCCAAAGTCCCCTAACCACTGACTGAGCTGCTGCTTCTGCTACTGCTGCCACTGTGACTCGAGCTGCTGCTGCCGTGGATCGTATACAAATGCGGGTGCGGGGCAACAGCAGCTGGCATACGGCCAAATCCTCGAGCGGCGACGACCGCGCCTTGGAGAGCAGCTCGAGAGAGAAACTCCCGTTGCCGCCGCCTCGTGGGAAGACGCACAGCGAGCCTCACGCCGTCCGCCAGGCCTCCAGCCTCGCTCAAGGAGAGGGGCCTGCCAAAGGATGAGGCGAGACGGGAGGCAAAACGATAGTAATGGTAGAGAGCAACGGTGAACGCAAGCTGATCTCCTCTCAGGCCAAGAAGGAAGATGGGGTGAGACGGCAGGGGGGAGCGACGAGCTTGGGACGTCCAATCGAGAAGACGGGAACACTGAAGATAGTGCCCGGCCCGAGCTTGTGTGAAGCCTCAGGGCATCCAAAGACGCAGCAGGCAGCTAAGGGAGGAGGAGGACGAGGAGGAGGTGGAGGAGAAGAAAGGAAGGAAGAGGGGAACGGGCCTGTGCACAAGGAGTGGGCGTCCACGACCCGCAGAAGTACGTACAAACAGAGCACTGAGCTGGAGTGGGTCTTAAACTCAACCTCTTTCCTGCTGACTCGGTGGCTGGGCTTGCCACATGTAGTTGATTTTGCCTCCATTTTGTGATGTGCTGGCCTTCGTCACCCTCCCCACGATGAGCGCGATCTTGGCGGCCGCGTCGTCATCCTCCGCAGAAGAGTAGGGGCTGATCTTGGCCAGTCCGAGTCCGCGCGAGGGCACGTAATATACAGCTCGCCCCTTCTGCACTTCTCCTGCCTCCTACACTACAGCCCTCGTCCTGCTGATGGTCCCTCTCCCTCTCCTCCCCTTCCTTCGTTTCCTCCTCCATTGCCTCCTCCTTCTCCCCCTTCTCCTCCTCTTCCTCCTCCTCCTCCTCCCTCCTCCCACTCATCCCTTCCTCCACATCCTTGTTGTCCTGCTGCTGACAACACGCTGGCGAATGGCTCTGCCGAGTTCCACACGCGCCCTCCTCAAGTCCTCCTGCTCCTCTCGTCGCCTCCGTGCTACCAGAGGGCCAGTGGAGTTGGGACACGAGCGGCAAGGTCCCGCTGGAAAAGATATACCACGTGTCCATGATCAGGAGCAGGAGGCCACTTATGGCAAAGAAACGACTTCCAAAACACCCTTTCTTCACAAGACCGCATACTTTCGAAATTCAGGGAGAAATCGCGATGCTTGTTTCATCCATTGGCGAGGTAACGGAACGCCACCAGACGCGTCTGTAGGGCGGCCCGGGCGATTCGCCTGGTAGACCCTCCCAACGTATGCCTCAAAACATGACGTGCCCAACACGTAGGCGGGTGGTGCACATATTGTTCACAACGTGACTCCCACTTTGCGCGGCGTACAATCGAGCAGACCCCAACTGTTTTGCGAATAGGCTACAGTCAGACAATATAATAAGGACGCGCGGTAAGGATGCAAGGGCCTTAAAGGCCATGTCGACACTTTGCGGGTGGGGCGCGGCCAGCAAAAGCGTTCAAGGATGGGCCGAAGGGGAAGGATGCAAGGGTAGCCCTGGAAAGTCGCTCATCCTTACTATGCGAATTGGCTGTAAATCATTATCAGAGCCTGGCTCTCCCCTGAGAAATGCGGCCGTTCGTCTCCAAAGCCTTCTGGAACACAAATGGTTTTCACGTTTGTGCTCTCACTTGTGCGCCGTGCATACTCATCGCCAATGCTTGCAACAGGTGTGGGGATGGAGCACCATTGTTTTTCCCAATTGTGACTCCTGTCTTTGCACTGTGCACATTCGCCTCAAATGTTTCAAACATTGACATGGGATCGGGGAATGTACGTGGCCAAAATGAGAAAAACTGACCGAACCATTATCCAAACACCCTTCCAACAAATACTCTAAGGGAACACGCAATTATTGGAATGGACATGTGCATCTCACCTGAACGCCGCGCAAATCATCCGTGGCAACTTCCAACATTTCCAAACATTGAGGGCGGGTCGTCGTCGGAATCTCGATCATGCCTGGCATGTCGCGACCATGCTGCATGATCCGACAACTGGACATGTGAGACACATGCCCAAATATCAAGTTACCACTGTTGTGAGGGCCTGGCTATCGACTGACGCATCCTTGTATCAACACATCCTGGTGCTTGAAACTCCGACCAGCTGCACTTATAGAGGGCAAGTGCTCTTCAGCGCTGGTGCTCTCGCACCAGCGCCGCGCACACTGCCGCAAATCTTCTGGCAGCAACATGGCCAGTTCCAGAGACCCTGAACCAAAAAGTACGTAGCCATCTCTTGGGGGCGTCTTCCGCTGGCCTTCCGCCAGCATCCGCCGGCTGAGCCGCCCCCGTTTTGCTTCCGTCGCCTTCCGCCGCCCTTCCGCCGCCTTCCGCGCCGATGGAGAAATGCCAGTTTGCCCTCTCCTCGAGGGCGAGGTCGTTTTCTTCAGCACCCCACGCGGACGGAATGCAAATTCGGAAATAATACGCGATCGGAATTGAATATACGATCATGGACGCGCGTGTGAAACAGATAAGCAACATATATATATATATATATATATATATATATATTGCTGCTGGCCTCCGTGCGTAACAAAGGGGAAGAGGGGGAGGGCCTATTTTTTACGTGGCGAGAACACACCGAGTTCAGCCGCAGGCATTCCCGCCCACACGGGAGTGGGCGATAAGAGATGCGGGGTGGGTGGTGGAAAAGCGCAGACTCAGCCAGACGGCTGCAGAAGGCAGGAGGAGGGAAAGGGGACAGAGGAGAGAACAAGTGCACTGCGTAAGGCAATATACAAACGTTTTAGCGAACCGCTGCCAAACGAGACTATATATTGCTGCTGGCCTCCGTGCGTAACAAAGGGGAAGAGGGGGAGGGCCCATTTTTAACGTGGCGAGAGCACACCGAGTTCAGCCGCAGGCATTCCCGCCGCAACCGACTCAGCTCCCACCGGGCCCTACCCTCCCTCGACCGGGGGGGCCAACACTGAGTTGGACCCAGAAACATTGTGCCGCCCAAACGGCGACACAGGCAAAGGCGTGCGCAGCAGGCGAACGCCAGCAAGGTCACCCGCCCCCGGGTGCAGTCCAAGCTAAAGCGGTAGACACTGCAGAGTGCAGGACACCGAGGGGGCCAACACAGCGTTGACCCCTGAAAGTGCGGTGCCGCCCAGAAACGGCACAGACAAAGACGTGCGCGGCACTGGCGACCGCCCGCAAGGCCACCCGCCCACGGGCGCAGTTCAAAAGAGGGGGGGGGTTCAAACACGCAGCCTCCCAGACGGCGCCGCGAGGTGCGGGCAGCACGTGCAGCACGCGGGCGGGCGGCGTCTATGGGCCACCGGAACTGGCCATCGCTAAATCGCGTCGAATCGCGAACTAACCGGTCCCCGGGGAGGCAAATGCGCATCCCTCCCGCACGCCTTGACTAGAGTAAAAGTTTGGCGGACCCTAGTGGCCAGCCCGGCAAAGGTCGGAGCGGGCAAGATCGGAGCGGAAACCAAACACTCCGGGAAGGTGGGGCCCCTCGGCCCCCTTCCCTCCAAACGCGGGCGGTTTCAACGGCCCGCCGCTCCTTCCCCCCTCAGCCGCCCGGCCGCTCGGCCGCTTGGCCGCTCGACCGCAGCGGGGAGGGAGACGGCCACACCTTCCTCCCCCTAGCCGCACGGCCGCACGGCCGCTCGGCTGCTTGGCCTCTCGGCCGCGGCTGGGAGGGGGTACCCGCCTGGCCAGCGTCGGCGCGGGCGCCGATGCCGTAGGCGGGGCTGCAGTGGGCGCCTCCAAAAGTTCTGGTTCGGCGCCCCGCTCGTCGGCCGCGGCACGGCCTCCGAGAGGCCCTCCTGCTCCAACGCCTCGTCCTCGGGGTCGTCCAGGGGGAAGGTCTCCCGCGCGGCCGCCGGCGGCGTCCCGCCGGGGCGGCGCGCGGCGGCGCCCGAGGTCAGGTCCAGCACTTCGTGGCAGCGCTCGATGTCGTGGCTTCTCCCCCGCAGCGCCTGCGCCGGCGGGCCGCTCACGGCGCTGGTCGGGGTGGTTGCACGATCCTCGCGGGCGTCGAAGCCCGGGTGTGGCTGCCTCGTCGGCTCGGCCCCAGCGTCCTCCCATGGGTTCCGCCCTTCCCTCCGCGTAGCCGTCGTCTTCGGCAGCGGCGTCGAGGACGGGGGAGGACTGCGTGGGGGAGTTGGAACGCCATGACCTGGATCACAATGATGGAGGTCATAGCTAGGATCGGGGAGGAGGGTGTCCTGGAGATTTTGGCCTGGATCGTGGCGCAGACCGCCTCGGTGAACATCCCGATGTTCCGGGCGGAGGGCGTCCTGGAGATTTTGGCTTGGATCGCTGCGCAGCACGCCGTGGAGCTCCAAGGGGGCTCCTCCCGCAGGCGTGGCCAAGGAGGCTCCCCCGGCTCGCGCGGCCAGGGGGGCCCCTGCCGCTTGCAGGGCTGGGGAGGTACCCGCCGCTTGCGAGGCCGGGGAGGGTCCCTCCGATTTGGCGGCCTGCGGCGTCCGCACCGCCTGCCCGCACTCGACCGACGGGTACCGCCCATCCACTCCTCCGCCGCCTCCGGGAACGGTGCCGGCGCCACGCCCACCAGTGTCGGTGACGGCGTCGCCGGTAGGGCGGTATCTGGCTCGAGGGACCCCGGCGTAGTCGCCGGCAGGATGCCACAGGGACGCCCCGCGGAGGCTCGGCAGGGGGCGGGGGGCGGTCCTGAAGCCGGCCCCGATAGGGAGCGTCTCCGACAGATCGTCCTGCGGGATGCTGGGGCAGCATTCTAAGGAGTCGGTAGTCGGCGTAGCCCGAAGGGTGTGTTGAGGGCCGCCAGCGCCCCAGAGATCACCTCCAGCGTCCCGCCGAGCGCCCCCATGACGCTGATAGTCGGTATTGGGATCCTCTCCGTAATGGTCCCCTCCCCCTAGGGGTTGGTCCGCGGTCGCTCGGTCGTCTCCATCCCGGTAGTGGGGCGTCCTCACCTCGGTGGTGGTCAGCTCGTGGTCATCGCCTCCGCCGTGGTTGTTGTCGCTCCCGCCCCAGTGATGGTCGGCCCCGGGCCGATCGTCTCCGCCTCGGCAGGGGTCGTTTCCCCCGCGGCGGCGGCCAGTTCCCGGCCGGTTGACTCCCCCCCGGGAGTGGCCGGTCCCCCCAAGCTCCCGAGCGGGTCCGCGCGCGCTCGGTTGCATGTCGGCTTGGGGGCTGAGGCTGCCACGGGCCGGGGGAAAAGCCGGCGTGTCTCCCCTCGCAAAAAGCAAGGCATGGGCGTCGCAGCGTTGCCAACTCTGGCCCCCCTCCAGCGTCCCGAAGGGCTTCTCCGTCATCCCGGGGATCACCCCAAGCATCAGGCCCGGGGGTCGTGGTCCCCTCCCAGGGCCGAGGGAGGTGACCCATCCCTCCAAGGTCGTGGCCACCCCTCGGGCGGTCAATTCCCAGGTAGTCGCCCTTACCGCTCCGGAGGGGGCCCCCTCCAGTGGCGGCAGCGGCGACGACGCTCCCGCCGACGGCGATGACGGCGGAGCCAAGGGCGACGGCGCCGCCCGAGATGTTTGTGACCACGGCGGTGGATCGAGCCGACGGTGAAATCGGCGGCGAGGGGGGGGCACACGACGCCGGGCGAGTCCGGTCTTCCCGCCGTGGGGGTGTGCTCCCCCCCCGGGGGGTGCGAGGGCGCCTCTGTCGGCGCTGCCGTCGGCGCCGCCGATGGTGCCGTGGTAGGCGCTATCGGCGGTGATGGAGGCACGTCCGCATCCCGGAACTCGCCTCCAGCGCGCTGGGGAGCGTCCAAGTACTCCCCTCCAGCGTCCTGCGGATCGCCTCCGTCTTCTCCCTCCCTGGGGGACTCCCCATCCTCCTCGTGGTGTGCGTCGGCGCCGGCGCTGGGTGCGGGTTCGCCTCCGTATACGTCCCCGTTGGCGTCGGGGTCCCAAACGGGAGCGTCGTCATCGTCGGCGCCGGTGGAGGGCACGCCGGTGGGGCCGTCGTCCGTGCCAGCGTCCGCATCGGCGCCAGCGTGGGCGTCAGCGTAGGCGTCGGCGTCGGCGTCAGCGTCGGCGTCGGCGTCCGCCCCAGCGTCAGCGTCGCTGGCATCGACGTCGGCATCAGCGTCGGTGTCGGGGCCGTCGTCCGCGTCAACGTCCGCGTCGGCGTCTGCGTCGGCCTCGGCGTCGGCGTCCGCGTCAGCGTCAGCATCGGCGTCGGCGTTAGCGTCAGCGTCGGCGTCGTCGGTGGGTGCGTGGCCGGAAGGTTGCCTTCCTAAGGGAAGGGGCGCTCCCTCCCTCAAGGGAGGTGCCGGCCCACGCGTTGCCCCCGGACGAGGAGTCGGCGCCGAGGTTGCAGGAGTCGGCATCCGCGAAGGAAATGAGGGCGTCGGTGTTGTGGGCACTCTCCCGCCCCGGCGGTTGCCGCCAGCATCCCTGGCCTCAGGGGGACCGTCGTCGGCGTCGGCGTGCGTGTCAGCGTCAGCGTCGGCGTCCGCGCCAGCGTCGGCATCGTTGGTGACAGTGACGGCATCGGTGACGGCGTCGGCGTGGGCCCCCCAGCGGAGGACATTCCCACCTAGGAGGTGGCTCCCCCCTGGCCGGTCGCCGCCGTCGCGGGAGGGGTCGTTCCCATCGCGGTGGTGATCAGCTCCCGATCGGTTGCCTCCCCCTCCGCCACTGCTCCTTCCGCGTCGGCGGTGGTCCGCATCTGCTCGATCGCCTCCGCATCGGTAGCGGGGCGTCCCGTCCTCCTCCCCCTCCTCCAATCCCGCGCCGTTCTAACCGGCCGTCGGCGGTGGTCAGCATCTGCTCGATCGCCTCCGCCTCGGTAGAGGGGTGTCTCGCCCTCCTCTCCCTCCTCCAATCCCGCACGCAGTGCTGCGGCGGCCGCGTATGCGGCGGCGGGGGTGTACCCGCCCCGGTGGAGGTCCTCGGGGCGCCACTGCACCGCTCTAACCGGAGGGGATCCCGGCAAGTGCAAGGGGCCCACTCCTGGGAGGCGAGGAACATCGGCGGGACCGTCGTCAGCATCCGCGTCCTCGTCCGCGTCCGCGTCGCCATCGGTGTCAGCGTCAGCAACATCCGTGCCGGCGTCGACGTCGGCGCTACGAGGCGCGCCCTGCGGCCCGCCAGCGCTTCGATCTCCTTCAGCTCCCTGCAGGTTACCTCCAGCCCCAAGGTCTCCCCCCGCTGGGTCCTCCCAGCTGGGTCCTCCCAGCGGGCCCTCCGGGGGGCGGGTATCCCTCCCCAGGGGGAGGCCCAACGGGGTGTGCTCCCCCCCGGTGTCCCGAGGAACGTCCCGGCGAACGCCAGCACCCCGAAGGTCGCCATCGTCCCGAAGATCGCCAGCGCCCCGAAGATCGCCGGCGTCCCGAAGATCGCCGTCGTTCCGAGGGGCGCCCTGAAGCTCGCCGGCGCCCCGAAGATCACCTCCAGCGCTCCGAAGAGCGCCCCGATGATCGCCTCCAGCGTCCCGAAGACCACCTCCATAGTCCCGATGACCGTCTCCTCCAGCGCCCCGCGGGTCGCCTCCTCCCGGGGCCCTCCCCCGGGGGGTACCACGATCCAGGCCAAAATTTCCACGGCGATCGGCGCCGCGACCCGGGCCACAATCTCCAGGGCGACCTCCTCCGTGATCCCCGTCAGAATCCCCACGAAGACCTACGCTGTGATCCCGGATGGGCCCCTCAGGGCGGCCTCCGCCACGATCCAGGCAGAATTCTCCCGGAAGGCCCCCGCCCCGATCCAGGCCAGAATCTCCCCGGCGGGCTGCGCCGCGATCCAGGCCCAAGTCCCCGGGACGCCCTCCCCCACGAGCCCAGCCAAGATCTCCACCAGCACGCTCCAGGCATTGGCACTCCAGCTCCTCCACGCGGTCCTCCCCCGTCCTCAGCGTCGGGGTGGTTAACACGCGCGCCTGGCGAGTCGCTCCCCCGTGGTCGTCGGCGTCGGCGGGGGTGCCCTCCGCTCCGGGGGGGTCATTGGGGGCCTTGGCCTGGGGCCCGGGCCGCCCTTCCAGGGACTCGAAGCGAGGGCGGAGGAGCCCTTCCAGCTCGGGCCTTTGCCCCCCCCAAGGTGACGCCCTACCTGCCGGCTTCGCCCTCGTCCGCAGCGGCGACGCCGACGCCGGCCTCAGGGCGGGCCATGCTGCCGTCTCCTGCGCTCGCTCGGCTCCTGAGCCGGCGCCGGCGGCGGGGGTCTCGCGGGGCTCGGCCGGGCACCCGCGGGTGCGGACTTCGAGGTTGGCCATTTTCTCGTCGTCGCTGTGCTCCATGGGGTCGGTGCTGTACTCCCTGCTGGCGTCGGTGCTCCCTGCGTCTTCCGCCGCCTCGTCGTCGTCGCCGTGCTCGGGGGGGTCGGTGCAAAAGCCAATGCTGGCGTCGGACGTGTCCTCCCCCCCGTCCTCCGCCCGGCGCTCGGCCTGCGCCTGGCGCCCAGCCTGCCAGGGCCCTCCCCTGGCCGGGACGTCCCCCCCCTCCTCCCAGCCCAGAGGCCGTGCAGGCAGTGCAGGCAGGCCGTGCCGGTGAGTCGGGAGGCAGGCGGGGCGGCCAGGCGAGTCGGGGGGCGGTGTAGGCGAGTCCGGAGGCGACGAAGGCGATGCAGGCGGGTCCCGAGGCAGGGCGGGCGAGCTCGCCGCCGCAGGCAGTGCGGGCAGCCCGCTCCAAGGGTGGTCGCCATCGGTGCCTGGAGCCTCGGCTGGGGCCAGGGCGTCGCAGGCCGTGGCCCTCTTCCCTCCGCCGGGTGTCGCCTCTTCGAAGGGGTAGCCTACCGGGGACCCAGTCGACGACGAAGCCAGCCTGCCCGGAGTCGCCACCCAAGATGCAGCATGAGGGGGTACTCCATGCGCGCTCTCTGCCCGACCCAACGGGAGGGGTGAGTCTAGCGGCGGGGACGACCGCACAGCAACTTCCTGCGCGCTCTCTGCCCAACCCGGAGGGAGGGGTGAGTGTAGCGGCGGGGTCGGTCGTACCTGAACCTCATGCGCGCTCTCTGCCCAACCCCATGGGAAGGGTGAGTATAGCGACGGGGTGCAGGAAGCCGACCTCGAAAATGCCGCCATCGAAGTAGAGAAGGCCGCCCTCTGCGATGTATTCCGCACTGCCCCCGGACGCGGGGACGGGTCATCATCAGGTCTCCCGCTCCTCCTGGGCGCGCTCCCTCCGCAGGGGACGTGGCCCGAAGTGTCCGGGCTCGCTCCCCTCGAACGGGGGCGTGACCTGAGGTATCCTGGCGGTGCTGCTGAACCGCCGCTGCCAGTCTGCGATGTGCTCTGCCCTGCCACCTGGAGCAGGGGCTGATCATCATCAAGTCTCCCGCTCCTCCCGGCCCCTAGGTTCTCCCAAGGTCCCCCAACAGCCGGTGCCTTACCCGCCGTCGGGAGCGAGGTCCGCGCTGGTGTCGAAGGCGTGGAGGTCGGTGGCCACCTTGGCGCAGGTGGCGTCGGCGGGCCATGCCCCTCCGCCTCCCTTCGAAGGGCCAGCGCCGATGCCGGTGTTGGTGCTGACGTTGGCGTAGGCGGCGCGCGACCCCCCCTTCCGCCGGACCCCTGGGGATCCCCCCAGTGGCCGAGGCCCCCGGCCCAAGGAGCGCGGGTCCAGGGTCCGTCGGTGCCCGTGGGGGCGAGGCCGTCAGAGGGAGGCGGCGCGCGATCCCCCCTTTCGCGGGGCCCCTGAGGATCCTCCCAGTGGTCGAGGCCCCCGGCCCAAGGAGCGCGGGTCCAGGGTCCGTCGGCCCCCGTGGGGGCGAGGCCGTCAGAGGGGCTGCTGATATCAGAGCCGTCGTCGGCGCCGCAGCGGATGCGCCCGTCAGCGCTGGTATACTCGGCCTGATCATCTCCGTGAAGCTCGTCTCCGGCCAGGGCGTCATCCAGGGGCTTCCGCAGGGGCAGGGCGGGGCTCCCGTGGGCCTGCCTCAAGGTGGAGTAGGGCACGGCGGCCTCTCCAGCGACAGCGCTCGGCTGCATGCCCGAGCTCGGAAGCGGCCACGCACCGGGAGCTCCGCCGGCGGTGGCGGCCTCTCTGACCGCTGACGGCGCCGCGCCAAGCGCCGCGACGAAGCCGGGCGCGGCCTGGTCGTCCGCGGTTCCCTCCTGGCCGCCGCGGGCGGCCTCGGGCAGGACCGCCGCGGGCAGGAGGCACGGACCGAAGCGCGGGTCCGCGCGCCCGGCGTGCCCGAGGGCGTCTGCGATCGACACGCGCTTGGAGGGGTCCAGGCTCATGGGCCTCAGGATGAAGTCCAGCGCCATCTGCGAGCAGACGCAGTGGTCCTGCTGCTTGGGGTCGGCGCTCAGGAAGAGCGGCTGCGCCGCCAGCAGGTAGAACGTGCTCCAGCCCAGGCGCCAGGAGTCCACCGTGGTGGCGCGGTATAGGGGCGCAGGTCCATCAGCTCGGGCGGCCGGGAGGACTTGCCAACCATGCCGTGGAAGTCCGCGGGCACCTCACCGTCGGGGTCGGCGCTCAGGAAGAGCGGCTGTGCCGCCAGCGGGTAGAACGTGCTCCAGCCCAGGCACCAGGGGTCCACCGTGGTGGCGCGGTAGGGGCGCAGGTCCATCAGCTCGGGCGGCCGGAGGGACTCGCCGACCATGCCGCGGAAGTCCACGGGCACCTCACCGCCGGGGCCGGCCTCGAAGACGACCGCCTGTCCCGGGTCGCAGTTCGAGGATCGTGGCTCCAGGGTCGAGGATCGAAGCATCAGGGCCGAGGATCGCGACTCCAGGTTCGAGGATCGTGGCTCCATCCTCCCGAACGGGACTATTTCTGCATATTCCGAGCTACCCCTCCCCTCCGAGTTTAGCTGCAAGGCTTCTCCCCCCCCGAGCGGGTGGGTGGGTGGGAACCGCTTTGCTTGTGCGCAAGGGTCCCCGTGCGCGTCCTCCAGGGCGTCGCCCAGGGGCGCATCCATGGCCCGGGCGTCTCCCAAGTGCCGGTCCCCGGCCAGGGCGTCTTTGGCGAGCTCCTGCGCGGCTAGGATGGCCCTCTCGGGCTTCTGCCCAGCCAGGGCTTCCCCGGCCGGGCCGACCACAGGGTCGAGGCCGCCAGGACGGTCGCCAGCGCAGGCGCCTGAGGCGAGGTGCTCGCCGCTGGCGGTCGGAGCCGCGGCGTCGGAGACGGAGGAGGCGGGAGCGTCGCCGGACTCGTCCTCGGCGTCGGGGTCGGGCTCGCCGGCGGGGCTGTCGTCCGCATCTCCCGCCGCTGCCTCCGCCGATATTGACCCCCCCGCGGACATGGCGTCGGCGCGGGCCTCGGTGCTGGCGCTGGCGCTGCCGTCGGCGTTGGTGTGGGCCCTCCCAGGTGGGTGCTCCTCCTCAGTGGGACTTCCCGCCTCCCCAGGGCCATCCCCAGGGCCCTCCCCAGGGCCCTCCCCAGGTGGGTGCTCCTCCCCAGGGTCCTCTCCAGGGCACTCCCCTGATGGGTGCTCCTCCCCAGGGTCCTCCCCAGGGGAGCTGTGCTCCGTGGGGGATCGGGCGTCGCTCTCGTCGAAGTCCGCAAGGTCCAGGAAGGGCACGTGGCGGCCCGCCGCGGCGCCGCCGCGGGCGCCGCCGCCGTCGGGGCTATCCGGCGCCCGCGTGGAGCCGCCATCGTCGGGGCAGCTCCCCGGGCTGGGGCTCCGCGGCACTGAGGAAGATGGTCGCGGGGAGGTGGGGCGGTTGACGCCACCCACGTAGAAGCTGGCCTCGACGCGATGCATCGCGAGCCACTCGTACTGCAGAGGCGAGCCGGGGGACCCGGATGGGCAGCACGCCGCATCCCCGGCTTCCTCCCAGCGGCCCTCCTGCTCCAACGCCTCGTCATCGGTGTCGTCCAGGGGGAAGGTCTCCATCGCGGCCGCCGGCGGCGCAGCGTCAGCGTCAGCGTCTGCGTCCGCGTCATCGTCGGCGTCAGCGTCAGCGTCGGCCTCGTCCGGGTCCGCGTCAGCGTCGGCGTCGGCGTCAGCGTCAGTTTCGGCCCCCTCCGCGTCCCGGAGGTCGCCTCCAGCGTCCCGAAGGCCGCCTCCAGCGTGATGTACCCAGAGGGTCCTGGTGTCCCGGTCGGCGCCAACGTCGGGATCGCTTCCACCGTAGGTGGCTTCAGCTGCAGGTAGCCCTCCGTGAGCACGGGGACGACCAGCGCCGGGGTCGTTGCCTGCGTCGGCCTTGGTGTCGGCGTCAGCGTCGGCGTCGGGGTCGTCAGCGCCCGCGTCGGGTTCGGCGCTGGAGATGGCGACCGCGTCCAACTCGCCGACGCCAGAGCCCGGGCTGGCGGGGCCCCTGGGTTCGCCTGGAGGCCCGAGTGGACAGTCCCGAGGTTGACCGAGAACGAGGGGAGCGTGCCGGCAGTACTGGGGCTCCCGGGGGTAGAGCATCTCCCGGACTGCCTGATCCCAGGTGAACTCGCGCGACCACCCCCAAGGTAGGCCCGCGCACCACCCGCACCTTAGATCGCCGGGGTGGCCCGGGCTGCGGCAGGAGGGGCAGCGCCTTCCAGGGGCGCCCGCCTGGGAGGTTCCAGCGCGAGGGGAGGGTTCCGATGGAGCGCTCGGGTTCGGCGTCGGCGCTGCCGTCTGCGTGGGGAGCTCCACCCCTCCGAGCCCGTCGGCCTCGGGGCGCGCCGCCCCGCCCCGACGAGCGGTGACGCCTGCGTCAGCGTCGGCGTTGGCGTCAGCGTCGGCGTCGGCGTCGTCGGTGTCGGCATCGGCGTCGGCGTCGGCGCCGGCGTCGGCGTCGTCCGCGTCAGCGTCAGCGTCGGCGTCGGCGTCAGCGTAAGCGTCTGCGTCTGCGTCGGCGTCGGCGTCGGCGTCCGCGTCGGCGTCGTCGGTGTCGGCGTTAGCGTCGGCGTCAGTGTCAGCGTCGGCGTCGTCCGGGTCGGCGTCAGCGTCGGCGTCGGCGTCAGCGTCAGCGCCTGCGTCAACGTCAGCGTCGGCGTCAGCGTCGGGCCCCGAGGGGGGGCCAGGCAGCCCCACCGAGCAGGGCGCCATGCGGGCCAGGGCGGCGGGGCCGAGGGCGGGGGCGCTGTCCGAGATGTTCTCGACCACGGCGATAGTGCCGACCGTGGCGGGGACGTCGAGGGGGAGGCGGTTGACGACAAGCATGTCCGATCCTCCCGCCGGGGAGGTGCACCCCTCCCCCGGGGGGTACAAAGGCGCCTCTGTCGGTGCTGCCGTCGGTGTCGTCGTCGGCGTGGAGGTAGGGGTTATCGGCAGTGACGAGGGCCCGTCCGCCTCCTGGGGCTCGCCTCCAGCGTGCCGGGGAACATCCAAAGTCCCGTCCACGGGGACGGTCACCAGGAGCTCCGTGGGAGGCGACCGCGGTGGCGGCATCGGCATCGGCGTCGAGGGCGCTTGAGGGCCTGCATGCCTCTCCCCCCCCTTCTCCTGGGAGGGCATACCCCCCTCGTCCGCGCCGGCGTCGGGGCCCCGGAGGGGGTTGTTGTCGTCGCCGCAGCTGAGGACGGGCACGCCGGTGGAACCCCCGTCTGAGCCAGCGTCCGCGTCGGCGTCAGCGTGGGCGTCGACGTCGGTATCAGCATCGGCGCCAGCGTCGCTGTCGGCTTCGGCGTCGGCGTCAGCGTCGGCGTCGGCGTCGTTGTCGGCGTCAACGTCGGCGTCAGCATCCGTCGGCGTCGTCCGCGTCGCCGCCGGCGCGGGTGCCGGCCTTCTGGCCGGGGTCCCCTCCCCCTCAGCGATGGCCCCCTTCCGGACGGCAAGCTCCGTCTCGGTGGAAGTCGCCCCCCCCTCGGTGATGGTCTGCTCCTAAACGGTCATCTCCCTCCCCGGGGGGGCCTCTCCCACCGCGGTAAGGGTCAGCGTCCGATCGGTCGTAGCCATCCCGGTGGCGGGGCGTTCCCGCCGCAGGGTTGTCGGCGGTGAGTGCGTGGCCGGAGCGATGCCCTCCCAGAGGAGGGGGCGCTCCCTCCCTCAGGGGAGGTACCGGCCCACGCGCTGCCCCCGGACCCGGAGTCGGCGCCTGGGCTGCCGGAGTCGGCCTCCGCCCGACAAGGGAGGGCGTCGGCACCGGGGGCATTCCTGTGTCCCGGCCGTCGCCTCCAGCGCCCCGGGCCTCACGGGGACCGCAGCCAGTCTCGGCGTGCGTGTCAGCGGCAGCGTCGGCGTCAGCGTCAGCGTCGGCGTCGTCGGTGGTGGCGTCGGCAGCGGCGCCGGCGTCTGCGTTGGCCCCCCCGTAGGGGGTATCCCCACCTAGGAGGTGGCCCCCTCCTGGTAGGTCGGCTCGGTGGTCGCCAGCGTCACGTGGATCGCCGGCAGCCGGAGGATCGCCAGCTCCACGGGGAGCGCCATCGTCCTGAAGGCCGTCGGCGCTACAAGGAGCGTGCCGGTGGGCGCCCAGATGATCGCCTCCAGCATTCCGAAGATCACCTCCATCTCCCCCGGGGGCCTCTGCTGCGGGCGCGGCCGCAACCCGGGGATCGCCTCCAGCGTGCCGGGGAGCGCCCGGTTGACCGCCCCCAACGTTCGGCTGAACCTCAGGAGGATGAGTCTCCCTCCCCGAGGCGATGCCCAAGTGGGGGCGCCCCCCCAAACCGGCGCGGGGGATGGAGGCGGCGGCGCCGGCGGCTCGGGCGTAGAAGGCGGCCCCTGCAGTCAGGGGCGCCCCGGCGTCGATCCGCGGGGTAGACGCCACGGGTGGCGTCGTAGGAGGCGCCGGCGGCGTCAGCGACGAAGTCGGCGACGGCCCCGGCGAGGGGGAGGCAGCCAGCGACGATGAGGGCGACGGAAGCTACCGCCAGCGCCTGCAGCGCCGCTGACTCACCCGGGGGGGGCCCCCCCCCCCCGTGGCGAATCCCTCCCCCGTAGCGCGGTGCTCCCCGGGTCCTCCCCCGGGTACACCCCTCCAGCGCCCCGAAGAGCGTCTCCATCATCCCGAAGGTCACCTCCAGCATTTCGTAGAACGCCTTCAGCTCCCTGGGGAGCGTCCCGCCGAACCTCCCGAAGGTCGCTGGAGTCCCGAGGATCCTCCTCGAGGCCCGAGGCTCTCCTCCGGCCGGTCCGGCTGGCGCCTCCTCCCCCCGCGGTGAGCGTGCCCCCGCCACGGTGCGCCTCCGGCGTAGGCGCCTCCATCGGCGTGGAGATGCCCCTCCCCTCCCCGAGCACCTGCTCCGGAGGGCCCCCGCCGCGTGTAGATGCCGCCGGGGGGGGCGCCGCCCTCCCCTGGGTGGAGGAGGGTGAGAGGGCAGTAGGAAGGACAGAGGGAGGTGCCAGAGAGGGGCGAATGGGGGAGAGAGAGGGAGCAGCGAGGTTGGACGTGATGGAGGTGCCCCCCCCCTCCCCGAGAGATAGCTTGGGGGGGTCCCCGGCCGTCACGCACGCGGCCGGGAGGGGGAACTTGATATGCCCAGCATGGGGAGGCACGACGTCGCCCTCGGGCGCCTGGCAGAACTCCTCCTCTGCATGCTCTGGGGCGGTGCCCCCTCCCTCCCCGAGAGATAGCTTGGGGAGGTCCCCGGCCGTCACGCATGCGGCCGGGAGGGGGGACTTGATATGCCCAGCATGGGGAGGCACGACGTCGCCCTCGGGCGCCTGGCAGAACTCCTCCTCTGCATGCTCTGGGGCGGTGACCCCTCCCTCCCGGAGAGATAGCTTGGGGAGGTCCCCAGCCGTCACGCATGCGGCCGGGAGGGGGGACTTGATATGCCCAGCATGGGGAGGCACGACGTCGCCCTCGGGCGCCTGGCAGAACTCCTCCTCTGCATGCTCTGGGGCGGAGATAGGATGATGACGGACCGGCTTGCCTCCCCCTTCCGCCCCTAGCAGGCGTGCCGCCTCCCCGAGCGCGGGCGGGCCGCAGTCAGGACAGAAGAGGTCGAGCAGCGCTCCAAGGAGCGGCAAGGCAAGGGGGGCCGCGAGGAGCATGAGGTCCTGGGGCGGGTCACTCCCGCCCCCCCCATGATGAGATTAGGGGCAGACGGCCCCTTCCGCAAAAGCGCAGACTCAGCCAGACGGCTGCAGAAGGCAGGAGGAGGGAAAGGGGACAGAGGAGAGAACAAGTGCACTGCGTAAGGCAATATACAAACGTTTTAGCGAACCGCTGCCAAACGAGACTATAGGGATCTCACTCTGGAGCGTGGTTAGCTGATAGTGCCGAACCGTGGTGGGCCAGAGCTGGCGGCGCCACTCGCAAAACAAACGGTCCTGGCGTATTTGCAGCAGCGGTTGTGCGCGCTGGGCTTATCCGCCACCGTGCTGCGAGGAAATAAGCAGAATGTCATCAAGTTCCCTCGGGCTCCCAATATTCCATATTGCAAGCGCTCGTTCACGGAGTCTGCTCACTGCGCTCTTGGGCGCTCTCGGCTCTCGGGAGCGCCCCGCGAAGTAAAGCAGAATTTCAACATATGGGCCTTTTCAGTATGTTCGGACACTGAAGGGGGAACACGAGCTGGCCCCTAGAACCATCAAGTGCAAGTATGGCCCCCGAGACCGCAAATAAGTCTTTAAGAGGCCCCCAAAAGGTCGCAGGAAGCCTCTCAGAGGGCCCAAACAGGACCCCTCGGAGGCCCCCGAGAGGCCCACAGGAAGCCCAAGGAGACCCCAAGAGTCCCAAGAGAGCCCCAAAAGGGCCCCACGAAGGATCCCGCTCCTCCTCCTCCTCCTCCTCCTCCTCCTCCTCCTCCTCCTCCTCTCGAAAACCCCCCCTCGCGGAGAGCACTCTCCTCCCCCTCCTCCTCCTCCTCCTCCTCATCCTCCTCCCCCTCCTCCCCCTCACTCCCCACCTCCTCCTATCCCTCCTCCTCCTCCTCCTCCTCCTCCTCCTCATCCTCCTTCTCCCCCTCGTCATTACTATCGTCGTCGTTGTCGTTGTCGTTGTGGCCGTCGTCGCCGTCGTCTTTGTCGTCGCCGCCAGCATCATCATCATCATCATCATCATCATCATCATCATCATCATCATCATCATCATCATCATCATCATCAGCATCATCATCATCATCAGCAGCAGCATCTTCATCATCATCATCATCGTCATCATCATACGCATCATCATCATAATCATCATCAACGTCATCAGCATCATCCTCCTCCTCATCATCATCAGCAGCAGCATCATCATCACAACCATCATCATCATCATCATCAACATCATTATCAGCATCATCATCATCAGCATCAGTATTGCCATCATTGTCAGTAGCATCATCATTATCATCGTCATCATCACCAATATCATCAGTGTCATCATCGTCACCATCGTCGTCATCATCAACATCCGCATCTTCACAAGTAGCAGCAGCGGCATAATCAGTATCATCCCAATCCTCATCCTCATCCTCATCACCATCCTCATCATCAGCAGCATCACTATTATCGCCGCCGCCACCGTCATCGTCATCATCGTCGTCGTCATCCCCATCGCCGTCGTCAGCATCGTCACCATCATCAGCCTCCTCATCCTCATCACCATCAGCATCAGCATCATCATCATCATCATCACCATCATCATCATAATCATCCCCATCCTCATCCTCATCGTCACCATCATCATCAGCATCAACACCGGCATCAGCATCAGCAGCAGCATCCCCATCACCACCAATATCATCATCAGCATCATCATCATCATCATCAGCATCATCATCATCATCATCATCATCATCATCATCATCATCATCATCATCATCATCATAAGCATCATCACCATAATCAGCATCATCATAACCAGCAACATCATCATACTCAGCATCAACACCACCATTAAAACCACAATCCTCGTCATCCTCATCAGCCTCGTCATCATCATCACCGTCGTAATCATCAACATCATCATCATCATCATCATCATCATCATCATCATCATCATCATCATCATCATCGTCATCATCATCATCATCAATGGCGTCATCATCATCATCATCATCATCAGCAGCATCATTATCAGCATCGAAATCAACATTGGCATCACCAGCATCGTCCCATTCACCTTCCTCTTCCTCCTGCATTGCGAATCCTCGCCCACTAAGAGTTGTACCGATACGGGGCCTACCACTGTGAGTACCACCAATGCACATCCGCAGTGTGTCCTCGACCACAAAGCGGTTCAACCATTACGAATTCATTTTCGCACGTGCCGACCATCGCACGTGGCGGTCCGCACGCCCACTTCCCCACCATACAGAAGGTGCGGGACGGAGTTGGCACGGAAGGGCGCCAGGAGCTTCTCCAAACCGCACAGGGCTCAGATACCGAAGGGTAGGCACCCTACGCTTTCCCTATACACGAAGCCATCTATGTATGATTTCAGCGAGTTTGTGCTCAACCGTTCTCCTCCGCATCCTCCTCCTCTTCTCTCTTGTCCCCCCCAAAAAAATATCCTTCAAGGGATTACACAGCGGCAGAGGGAGTAAATAGTTCAATACCTTGGCCAATCGTTCCCACAACGGTTGGCATGATAGAAGCATCCAGGAGGCAGTGAACGGCGATGATTCGCCGCCGGCGTCTTCGGTACTCTGGCCACCCCCCTTCTCGTCCCCCCGCTCCCTCCTCCTACTCCTCCTCCTCCTGAACGCTCTCCGCCTCCTTCCCTCCTCCCTCTCTCCATCCTCCATTCACGTTAATTCGCGGCGTTACGTCCCAGAAATGGCGTTCTAGCGCGATTCAGAGTCGTGAGGACGCGAAAGTCATGTTGGTTCGCAGCGTTGGATTCCCAGGAATGGTGTTTTGTCACGGTTCACAACTTTCCAACGTTTCTCTTCACTTCCAACGGGACATTACCCTCAGTGAAAGTAAGCCCTTATAGGGACTTATGAAGAGGAAACTTGGAGGGAGGGATTATTGCAACACCGTTGATGAGTCATGGGCTTACACTGGTCCTCCTTCTCCTCCTCCTCCACCTCCTCCTCCTCCTCCTCCTCCTCCTCCTCCTCCTCCTCCTCCTCCCCCTCCTCCTCCTCCTCCTCCTCCTCCTCCTCCTCCTCCTCATCCTCTCCAACAACCTCCCTCGCGGAGCGCACTTCTCATCCCCCTGTCCCTCCCCCTCCTCTCCAGCCTACCCCGCTCCCTCTTCCTCATCCTCTCCCACGTCCCCCCCCTGAGTGCCCAGAATGAGGGCGACAATCCACCCGGGCACGGGGGACAGGGCACACACCCCAAAAAGGCGACAGAAGGGGAGGAGAGAGGAGAGAGGATAGAAGCACAACAAAACAGCACAAACTTGATTTCTCGGCGCGGAGGGCGCCAGGGGCGGCGCCGGAGGCGGCGCCGCCAGGGGGGCTCAGCGCCGACACAGGAGATTCGCGCGGAGCGGCGAACGCTTATGGTTGTGCCGCTTCCTGCTCTTCGCTCCTCCTCTCCAGCTCCCTCCCCTCGCGGAGCGCACCGCCGCCTCCCCTTCCCCCCACCTTTGCCGCCCTCGGGGGGGGGGGGGGCGAGAGTGCGGCCCTCCTCACAAGTGGGGGGCTGCGACCTGGGTGCCCGCGGCTCACGCAAGCCAACACCGAGGCCGTCCACTGATGCACGCCAGTTGCCCACCCCCTTTGGCTGGGCGCCGTCCTCGTCGCGGGTGCCGCCGCCCACGGGCGGCGGCTCCGGGGCCTTCTTCGCCGAGGCCTCGGCACCGCCGCCCACCTTCTTTGGCTTCTTCGCGGGCGCGGGCCTCGGCAGGCGGAGGTTTGGCGGCGCGCCCAGGGGAGAAGGCAGAGGAAGGCAGAGGGGGCGGGCCGTCACAGGAAGGCCTCGGGCCTTCTGAGAGGCCTTCTGAACCTTCTCCGATGCCATGGAGGGCTTCTTAGACGGCCGGAGCGTTTCTGAGAAACCCTGCCGCATCTTGAGAAGGCCGGACCCCCCTCTCTCTCTCACACACACACACACACACACTGGACGCGCCGCCGAAAAAAAGATGGATCGGCGATACCACAGATACGTCAACCCGAACGGGACAATAACTGGATGCTCAGTCCATGCTGGGATCAAAAGGACGGCCCACGCGGTCCCTCAGGGCAGACTTCGGCAAGATGATCCCGAGGATCAAATGAAAGATCGCCACGCAGAGGAGTGAAGACAAGGCGGAGGAAGGATGAGGAAGAGGAGGGGGGGAAGAGGGAGTTCCTCCTCCACCTCCTCCTGCACCTCGTCCTCCTCTTCCCGATCACAACTCCTGGCACAAAGCCAACCGAAAGGGATCATTCGGGCCATGGTCTGCCGCCCAGAACAAGGAGGATAACTTATAATATTAGACATACAAGTAAACATGCGAATCAGAAGAAGAACAGCACAAAACACAGACCCTGCACGAGATCACACCTTCGGCTGGCCCCCTCCTCTTTCTAAGGGTGTCGGCCCATGGACATTGCACAAGGGGGAGAGAAACTATGCACCCCCAAGCCTCCACGGGCCCACTGTTAGAGCAAGATGTTGGTGCATATCGGCTCCCAGCAAAGCAGGGTGGCCACATACTCAAAAAGGTCTGGCCCACCTTGGGCCTGCGGCTGCCTGGTAGGTGGTGTATACATTCTCTCTTTCCCAGGATCCCACCCGAAGCTACCATCTCTCGTAATTGACGGCACTGCGACATGGTCAGGTAGCTGGATCCCAGCCTCTGGGAACAGGACCAACCTGCTCGCCGATCCGGATCGAGTCCTCGACCGCCGATCAGGGCGCAACTAGGAGGAGGGCGCAGGTTTGCTGGCAGCCACTGCCTTGCAGCGGGAGGCCACAGTATCTTTGAAGGGCCGTAAACCAATGGTCCTGCACATTTCCTGCCAATTCCAGAACATCCTTTCGGTCTGGAAGGGCTGCCCGACACTAGTGAACGTGCCCCGGGGGCCAAAAATCCATCGCCATCGCCCGCCCCGGCCTGGCCAGAGCGGGCCTGGATCTGGTGGAAATCCTGAGCCCCCCCCTCCCCCATTCCTTCTCCTGGTGAATAATTCCCCCCCGTCGCATCCCGAGGCCAGTTATGAGGCGGGCCGAGCGTTTCACCTGGGACTTCCTCGCCATTCACCGCCCCGGGACTTAGAGATTTGCCGGGGCTTCGCAGGTGGAGGGCGGGCGGGTCGCTTTCAAAATGCGGCCCTCGCCTTGGCGCGGCGCGCGCTCGCGCTGCAAGTTTGCAGACGGCTTCGCGGATTGAGGGCGGGCGGTTTTCAAAATGCGGCCCTCGCCTTTGCGCGGTGCGCAATCGCTCGAAATGCGCGCGAGCGCTTCGCGGATTGAGGGCAGGCGTTTTCCGAAATACACAAGGGCTTCGCGGATCGAGAGCGGGTCGTCGTCAAATGTGGCTCACTCTCGCCTTCAGCGCGGCGCACGTTCGTTCTAAACATTTGCTAGCTTCGCGGATTGAGGGCCGGTTGCACCACGGCTCGCGACTGCTTAGCCTGCTTGGCTAGCGCAGGTCGTCCGTTTGGAGCCTGGCGCCACATTGGCGACTCACTCCCATGGCCTGCACGTCTTCACCATGCACAAGGCTTGCCCACCGAGGTCCGCGTCCTCTGTGCGGGTTGTGCCTTGGCCGCTTGAATTCTGGTCATTTTGTCCAGTGCACGTGCCCGAGCTTGCAGTGCGCCGATCAGTTCAGCTTCACCCAGCCCGCAGCAGCAGTCTGAGTGGGCCGGCCAGCCTGCGCCTGCCCCAGCTAATTCGCCTAGTTCGCGTCCCGGACTTTGCTTTCGCCGCCTGACCCTCGTCTCGCGGCCGCGACCGAAAAATATTGAGGGCCAGTCAATGTCAAAATGTGGCACTCGCCTTTGCGCGGCGCGCATTCGTTTGAAACGCTTGCAAAGAGTTTCGCGGACTGAAGGAGGTTCCTCTTCAAAACTGTGGCTCTCGCCTGAGCGCGGCGCGCAATCGTTTTAGATATTTGCAAGAGCTTCGCGGACTGAAGGCGGTTCCTCTTCAAAATGTAGCTCTCGCTTTAGCGCGGCGAGCGTGGGTTTTGCAAGTTTGCAAATGCTTTTCGGATTGAGGGCGTTATATATTTCTGTATATGTTGGCAACATTCGGCTCTCGTCTGAGCGCCGCGCGCATGCGTTGAAAACGCGCGCAAGAGTTTCGCGGATTCCCATCATCAACATGCTAGAGACGGTGTTTTGGAAAGATTCCGAATTACGCGGGTGCAAAAGTTGCTTTGATTCTCTGCGTTGAAGTCCTAGGAAAAAGGTGTTCTGGCGCGATTCAGGACCCTCAAGACGCGACAGTCAGGCTGATCCGCGGCGTTGGAATCCCGAAAACAATGTCGCGGCATGCTTCAGGGCCTTCAAACGGGCGTCTCCCAACGAGGCAGTTCCACCAATGGAAGTGAACCGTTGCAATGGCCTGTGAAAAGGGTGCTTGGAGGGGAGGTTTGCTCCGACATCGTTAATGGCTCTTCGGTTTATCCTCCTCCAACCCCTCGCCCCCCCACCCCCCCTCCTCCTCCTCCTCCTCCTCCTCCTCCTCCTCCTCCTCCTCCTCCTCCTCCTCCTTCCTCCTCCTCCTCCTCCTCCTCCTCCTCCTCCTCCTCCCTCCTCCCCTCCACCTCCTCCTCCTCCCCCTCCTCCTTCTCCTCCTCCTGCTCCTCCTCCTCCTCTTCCTCCTCTTCCTCCTCCTCCTCATTATCGTCATCACCCCCCCCGTCCTTCCCCTCCTCATCCTCCGCCGCGCCCTCCTCCTCCTCCTCCTCCTCCTCCACCTCCTCCTTTTCCTCCTCCTCCCCCTCCTCTTCCTCCTCCTCCTCCTCCTCCTCCTCCTCCTCCTCCTCCTCCTCCTCCTCCTCCTCCTCCCCCTCCTGAGCCCGCTGCCCCAGCGCCCGCCTCGCTTTGTGATGGGTGTCCACTGGGGCCGGGCGCGCGAGGCATGTCCACCGCGCGCGCTAAGGGAACTGCGCGAAAGAAGTCAGTGAGCAAGACCGGGGGCGGACCTGCCTGACGCGCGTTTGCCGCTAGCAGACGAAGGGGGGCCCATCGCGCTCGTTCGCCCCTCGGCTCGGCCGCGCGTAGACGGCGCGCCGGGGGGCGCGACAGGGCCCCCAGAAAAAAGAAGTAAGACACTAAGACTGGGAAGACGACCTATTGGAGGAGGAGGGGAAAAGGGGGGGCGGGAAGATGGGGGGGGCGGGCGCGCGGCAGAGGGGCGCGAGCCACCTGCCCCCCCCCCCCCCAGGCGCGCGCGCGCCCGCCCGAAGCAAGGGGCGGGGGGGAGGGGGAACTGAACCGAAAAACTATGCGCCAGGACAAGCGCGCTCACCTTGCCTAGGTGGAGGCCTGGCCCTGGCCAAGAATCAAGCCCGCGAGGCAGCCTGGGCGGGCCGCTCCCCGCGGCTTCAGGCCAGCCCGGCTGCTCGGCGGCGCTGCGGCGCCAGCGGAGCCTGCGCGGCGCAGCTGATGGCCTTGTGGGCCCGCGTGAGCCCGCCGAGCTATTGGTCCCGCGGCAGCGTGCGCACTGCCGCAGGAGCCATTGTCTGGCTTCTCCGCCCAAGCGTCCCGGGGCTTCCACCGCGAATGGTATCAGTCTGTCCCCGGGGTGCCTGGCGTGCTTCTTGCGCTCGCCTCTCGCGGCGGCCTCGCCGGGCCGGCGCGCCGCCGCCCGCGCCGCGTCCTCGGCGCCCGGGCGGCGGACCGAGACGTCGATCCAGTGGCGGCTGGCCCCGCCGTTGCACTCGACGTCTAGGGCCGCGCGCTCGAGGAGGTCCGCGCCTGGCGGGCCCGCCAGCCGCCGGGCGCGGGCGCGGTCTCAAGCGGGCGCCCGCTGCTCCGTCGGCGGCTCTTGGTGCCGCCAGCGGCGGACCAGGCCACCCACTGCGTTTTCGAGGCTGCCGCGGCGGCGCTTCACGCCGCCGCCCGCGGCGCAGGTGGCCGCGCGCTTGCCTTGCCCGCCCGGCGGCTGTCCGCAGGGCGCGCCGCGTGCCCCCTCAACAGAAGGGCGGTTCTTGCAAGTCTGCGCCGCCCTCTGGAGCTCTGCCCGCGCGCATTCAGGCCTGGGCAAGTGCGCGCGGGCACGGGGGGCCGTGGCCGAGAGCGCGTCCTCCATCGAGCACGCGGGATCACTCGGGTAACCGAGGGGCCCCCGGCCCCTGGCCTGGCCCTCTGGCCCCCAGGGGCGCCGCCCGCTCGTGGCTGTGCAAACGCTGCCTCGCGGAAGCGTGGGCGTTCTTTTGCACGGCTTGCTCGAGAGCGCTTTGCTTCGCCGGGCGCTGCAGGGCGCCCAGCAGGGAAGCGCCCGGCGCGGGTCCGCGCCCTGGAGGGGGAGCGCTGTCCGCGCGTCGGGGCGGGCTTCGCCGAGTCGCGGCGCTGCGCCCAGGAGTTCTCGCAGGGAGTCGGCGCCAAGGTCCGCGGCCGCGCTGGACGCGCGCGCGGCCCAGCCGGCCCAGAACGCCGCGGCTCGTCGCGCAGTGGCCCGCTGTAGCCCCGCGCCAGAGAGCTCAATAGGGGAGGCCGAGGATATCCCGCGCAGCGGCGTCCAGGGGTCGCCCAGCGAGATCCTCCCAGTAGCCTGCCCGAGTGGCGTCGTAGCGAACCGCCTCCGCCTTGCCAGCCAGCTGCGCGCGCAGGACGCGCTGGCTCGCAGCGCCCGCGCAGGTGCGCAGCAAACTCACGATCGCCTGCAGCGAGAAGCCGCGCTCGACAACCGTGCGCTTCCCGAGCGGAAGAGGGCGTTCCAGAGTTGCGCCAATCGCCCTGCCGACTGCTCAAGGCCGCTGTTCTGGCCTAGCTTGAAGGGCGCGTCGGCCACGTCGCCCCGCGCCCGCAGGTGCGCGCCAGGCACGGGGAGCGATGGCACGCAGTGCGCGCGTAACTCTGGGGGCACGGCCTGCGGCCCAGACGGAGACCACATCTGCGTCTTCCCGGCGTTGAACTCCAACCCTAGGGGCTCCAGGAGCTCTTCCAAGCGGCGGAGGGCGGCAGTGGCGAGCTGCGCTGGAGAGCTCCTCCTAGCTGGCAGAGCGCCGCCCTCTAGCCGACCGCGAAGGCGGCTGGCGCCAGAGGGTCCCCTGGTCAAAACCGAGGGTACTCTCGACTTCCTCGAAGTGGCCCGCTGCGCCCCGCCAGACGTGCTTGGTGGGCCCAGAATACCACTTGTCAAGCACCCACGCGATCTCTGGCACGTGGACTGCCATGGCCTGGATGGCTGGGTCTCGCCGCAAACGCTGGAAGGCCGCCATGATGTCCACCTCGGTGAACACCATCTCCTGGTGAGCGTCGGACTGGGTCTGAAGTTGCTTGACTACCAGGTCGGCCCCGCACCTGCGGCCGACTCCGCACTGGCGGGGGCCCGCCGCCTGCCGGAGCCTGCCGGAGCCTGCCTTGTTTGACCCGGGCCAGCGCGCGCATCCCGAGCCTCCTCAGGCTGGCCCTCACAAGCAGTGGGCGGACATCGCCATTGCCCTTATCCAGAACCACCGCCTCGCCCGCCCGGAGTGGAGCACTGGCGCTGGGACCTCCCCGAAAGTGAGCTTCGCGACCGCTTGCGCCAGCAAAGAGAGCGCCTCCGGGGCGTGCGCCGCCGCGGCGAGGTGCTCCAAGCGGTCGCCGAGCAAGCAAGTTTGCTTACCTCCTTCTGTACCTCGCCCCAAAGGTCTGGGCCAGGGGCAGACCCGCAAGGGCCGCCAGGCTGGGCAAGGTCGCCATCCGCCTGGGCGGGGGGGAGGCAGCGCGCGCTTCCTCGAGCGTGGCGCGGCTGCGCGGCGCGAGCGGGGTGCCCCGCGCGGCCCCGAGAGCTCGCC